TCTCTTTGGTGCCGGTTGCAGTTAAAAGGCAGGGATGTTTGCCTTATTGTCTTGGTGTATCGCGCCCCTAACTCAACACCCGAAACCGACTACCACCTAGCGGCTGCTTTGAGGTGCAGTTTACGACAAAAATACACTCACATTCTTATCATGGGTGATTTCAACGTACATTGTTTAGAAGCCCCTGCCACGATCGGAGACCAATTCAAAACCGATCTACAAGATCTAGTAACTACTGTTCCTCTTTACAACCACATCACTTTGCTCACTCGGTTCAGAACTGGTAACAGACCATCTGTGCTAGATCTTGTGCTTACCAACGAGGAGCATATGATTGATGCGTTGATTTTAGACTGCCCATTGGGTCGCAGTGATCACGCAGTCATCGGTTTCAACTTCGTCTATTAGGCAGAATATCTGTATGATAACGATGATACTGTGCGAACCATCACAAGGTTCGACCGACTCGCCCAGCTAGTCAGCGCCACAACATGTTCTTTCCTCGAAGAAGAACCCCGGAAGTCGCCTGGCTCGAGTTCGTCAACACATTCAGTCAGCTGATTGCACAGGCTTCAGAGATAAAAGCATGCAACAAGTACAAATCAGTTTCATTCGTTAGGAGCAGAACCAGAAAATGGATGACAGTACACAACGCAGCATGGCGAGTGTACAGAGAAGCTCCAGCACCAGAAACTTGGGACAAATACGTAGCCCAACGTAACCTCTGCACGGTAGTAACATGCAAGTAAGTGGATAGTGACCGGCGCTATATCACATCTAGTAACTTATTCACGATGATCGTTGCCGTCCCCCGTAGCTCAGTGATCTCAACCACGGACTGGCAACAGTCGAGTTGCGGGTTCGAGTCCTACCAGGGTCCGATGGAATGCGCACTGCTGACGATACCCGAAAGGATGAAACGCGCGTACAGTGCTTTTCCGGGCGTGTGATGGCTGTCTGAGTGGGTCTAGATGTGACGAATTTCTACCTATACCATTCAACTCCCCCTACTACTCCTCTGATATAAAGATTATATACATTTGTAATCCCGCTGGTGTCAGCGATGTTTCCGGTACGATCCGTGACTTACATACGCTTGAGTCATGGTGTTCTAATTGCAAATGTCATTCTCCGTTGACAGATACCAAGAGGTTTCTTACAGATGTGAAAGCACACCGGGTTCTCTTACTACTGGCGGCAAGCCTAGGGAGGCACTACTCGAACGCCCTTAAGTTCACTGAGCTCCTCGAAGCATCGGGCTTCTGGTCAAACGTTCACTTCAACAGAGTCAGTTAACGCACTGTACAAAATTCAAATACATGCATTACTCGATTGTGACTCTATAATCTAATACAATTCCAGAGTGAACGTTTAGCATAAGAGGGAGTGCAACGGTCACTCACTAGGAGTCTCGAGCTATGCCTCTACATTATCATCTAGATTAATCTACAACTTGCTCCATTATGGCTGCGCCGGGTGAAATGTGTCGTCTTTTCCGACACCCTAACAAGCAAAGTACGTGCTTCAAATCCGGTGCTGTAACTAAAAGTACCGGCCACATATTGCACCAGAAATCAAAACAGCAATGGTGAAATGTTCACGAACTAACCAGTCGGACAACTTTTCCTTAATTAATACTCCTTAGTATGGAACAGACTTCTGAGTGAGGTACGTAAAATTCAGTGAGGTATAAAATTGCAAAAGGCATTACATTCATTTCCGGAAGTTGAAACAGCTATTGGTATGCTGAGACCAAATGTGACAACCGAATGTCCTTATGAAATTGGAGCGAGATAAATATGAATGTGCGTGTCCGGTTGCGTCTTCTTCGCCCGACTCGATTGACTCGACCATGGCCAGCAGGATATGAAGTTTTTTGAACAACGAGAATTTTTTGCCTAACCTCACAGTTAAACTAACCCAAGCGAACATATGTCAGATTTTTCAGTTTCACTTTTTGTCCTTGCCATACACTAGTACTTATCTCCTGTTCTTTCCTGGAGGTCACACGTCAGGTATACGCTGCAGTTTTCCGTACTCCCAGAAATCCACTTCGATTTAAGCTTTGTTTTTTCAATTGGTTCCACCCGATGTAACCATCTGAAGCTCTTTCAGGCGCTGAACTGCCGAGAACAAATGTTTATTTCTTAAGTCACATGTTCTCTTTGATTGCTTGTATACAAACGGAAACAGACAACTGTCAGACCACATCTCAATCTAAAGAAGTTTATAACATTTACTCCTTGTGGTTTCCATCTTGTTACCTTATGTTGCTTTTCTTTTCATGATTGGTCACGACTGAGTTGATCTCCTGCGGTGATGGATTGAAGGTTCCAAGATAAATAATTGCACCCATTAAAGTCGAATTGCCACAGACACACCGGCTAGAAAAAAGCTGCTGGACTTATAAAACCAATCTGCATGTTGACGGCGTATTACATGTAACCGCGACTATAGAAAAGCACTTTCATGGTGACGGCCTGTTGCTTACAACAACAGCGGCTAAAATCCAACTCAACATGATAACGTTTTAGTTGTCTTTAATCTACATCAGCACATGGGCAGATGAGGCGTGAAAATGTGGATGAAACCACTCGAGGCACTACCTGCATGGAAGTACGTCCCAAGGAGACAGTATCAAGGATGACTGTATTACTATGCTTACACTGCTGATGATGCCTACATTTATCCCTACACTCTGCTTTCTGCATTTGTATTACTACTAAATAACTGAACACCGCAAATAATTCTTTGGGACCAATCTTCTAAAATTTAATAACCTTTCTCTACCTCCCGAGTATGATGTACATAATGAGCAGACAACGCAGTTGGTCTGTGTCTAGCACCGTAAAGGAATATACCCTATATCTAGTTAATTATTTAGACTGCTGACTTCCACTTCGTCTTAAGAGTGAAATTCATTAACGCTAGTCGCAGGTAATGAGAAACAATGGTTATCAAGCATCGAGATGCTCTTCGCTTCGCAGTCAAATCAGCTCTACCTTTTTTACAAAATGTATCGCCCCTCATGGTGTTTAAATCAGTGCTAGACGAATGTTTCCCAATTTGTTTGATGCCAGTTGATCAGTCTCATTAAATACCCCTAGTCGACTGGTTGCTCGCATTAAAGTTTGAGTTATGTAAGCTGCTCTGACAATCGACGATGATCCTCCGGGTTCGCTTCGGTTTTCTTCCCGCAACTCTGACAGCGCACGACCAGTTTCCTCCTCTTCTGGACTCATCAGATAGAGATGGGCTGAGCTGGAAGTGGAATTTGGGACCTAACGCATAACAGCTGACGCACTGATCACCAGGCCACCAAGATCCGTGCGCAACGTTTGACACAGCGGTTGGGAGTACAAAGTTAAGTTTAGAGTGTCAGCCGTGTGGTTGGATTGCGACATGCAAGCGCTATGGAGACTTCGGTTTACTTTGAAGTAGACCTCGGTAATCCCCATCACCTCGACCGTAGTTGAATTGGCGAGATTTCATTCTTGTTCCCTCCCAACACTGGCGGAGATAGCCTGAGTTGTGGGGGGAGCAACACTGAAACCTCTCCTCCTCGGAGTTGATCCTGGTAATCTGAATTATCGAAATAAACTTTAGAATAAACTATCATTTTCATTCGCGTTAGTCCATTCTTTCGCCTACTGTGCCTCTGCGGCACGTTTCATGTGAATGCCCTTGGCCATCAGGCGATCCGTTTAAATTACCGTCACTTCATGATCGACGCCTGTGCAAAAACTGCTTTTGTTTGTTGAACTCAACAGACTACTTGACGAATCATATCAGATTTTACATCCAAAGTCGAATGATCTGGAGAAACGCAGCTCGCACTGCCTCCGAAAAGAAATAGCTTACCTGTAAAATGGGTGGTGCCGCTACAATGTATCAACCATTTTGCTCGCGGCTTGGGCCTCGACAGTTCTTCAGTACACTTTCTAACTTCATTTGACACTGGTCCTAACTAATGCGTTTCTTGGAGACATCTTAGTGGCGCATTGAGGTCTGTGATAAGTCGACTGGTGAGTTCACTGCACATTCAACCTACCCACCAGTACAAAGTTGATTGTCGTGACGGTATTTTTGTCATCAAATGCGACGGATCGGAATTAGACCGACTTTTCCCCCACTAGCTAGTGCTTTTAAATTTGATTCTTCGCTAAACTGAAATCCGCCGGCATATTTATGTACTACATAAAATACGTGAACAGTTTATGTCAATGAAATGTCTTTGCGAACCATCTTATGACCACGAACTAACTCTGCTAACAAGTCTCATGACTGCGTCATACATTTGCGCGCGCACGCTACGTCACCTGAACGACACTCGCTCACGATTCTATGCAACTTTCACGTTATTTCATTGGGTTCGGGAAATCATGACAATGAACGTGTATTTTCCTGTTCAAATCCATGTAGGCTCCAAGCTGCAGCCACATCTCTATTTGGTTAGCACTGCATATATCACCATTCCAACTGACATGTTCATGATGTCGGCTTCCCATAATCAGCAGCGGGGCGCTATACTGGATAGTAGTTCACTTTGGAACAGCATGTCAACAGTGTACGAGCCTGCTAGACTGTACTAGTGTGGACATGTGTTTATGAAGCAGCCTACCTGTGACAAGACGGTACGAGCACATGCACGCCTGTCCAACCGGACTACACTGAATCCTACGAGTCGCTATTGCTTGGTTTACCATCAGACTAGTGATTGGACTATTATTCCGAAAGGGTCAGAGAGACCCTTAGTGTTCGGTTGGCAAAAAGACCGAGTTGCTGTGCCGGTAATACGTTAAAAACAACGTGAAGCGGAATTCGTGGAACAAAACGTTGTACTTCTTACGCATCCGTTGAACTTGTCCCAAATAGTTGTCATCGACGATACTGCATTATCAAACTGAGATGTTGGAGCTTTCTTCGGGTGGACTCTATGCAGCCACTAGAAATGCGATATATTTTGTCACTACTAAGAGAGCACAGTGAAACAAACATTGATGAAACCTTCGGTTTCTAGTGCTACTAGGCCACTTTCTTCAAGCCACTTGTGTTCGTTACAACTTTATTGCAAAGGAATAATCCTTCTGCAACGCCTTCTCCTAGCATGGATCATATTGGAGCTGACTTACGTACGATTTGTCGAACCTATCGGGAATATGGATTACTGGTGGTGAGTGGAATTTTCAAGCAATGCATATCCTCTCAGCTATAATTGCTACACTCTACGGCATACAAAAGTTCGATCAAAGTAGATGTTCGCTCTAAGTTTGTGCATCTGTCCATCGATAACCAACCTGATTCACGGTATCCGCAACCGCCACTTGCTTGATGGTTCCAACGAGGAAAGGCTACTGTTAGAGTGTAAACGCAACGCATTTTCTTGTTAGGCAGTCCCACTAACTGAAAACGCTGCCTGGTTTGTGCTGTTTGCCACAGTGGTCAACCAGCACCAGTTGCTGCACTATAAAGTAGTTGAAACTGTCCTCTTTAGCGCTCTTGTAACTGGATCGATTACTGTACACCTGTATGTAAGCTGTTTGTGGTCTCTGTAAAGATGGCTTCGCTCCGTACCGGTTGTGTGATCCATCTACAAGCACTCGGTGATAATTACGTGACCGCGATGTGCCAATAGTACGAACGGAGGCCAGGACTCAGAAATGTAATGAGTGTGCACTTTCTCAACTACGGAATGTGCACAATAGCTTGGGTTGCGTTCCACGGTGTTTTCATCTGGACTTGGCCGGTAACCTGAATCAGTTAGCCCTGATTCCGTCCATAGAAATGGGTGGTTGTTCGAATTGTTCCAGACTTCATTTTAGGGAGGTTTAGTTGTAAAACATTGGGTAGTTGGCTGGAAGAGTGTCCTTGGCAAACTCTACTGTTTGAAAGTACATGAGAAAACCTGCATTATGGGGTGTTTTGTTCTCCGAGCTGTGCGTTTCATTTGCACACTTTTCATTGCCGAGCTAAGCAAACGCATCACTGCGGCTTTCAAGGGCTGAAGCACAGCCACTTGAGCACCAGGATCTGGCAGTGGCTCACGCGGCTCTGCTAGTCAGCCCTTGAAAGCCGCACTGATGATATTGTCTAGATTGGTAACGAAAGGTTTGTAACTGAAACTCACAGTTCGGAGAACAAGACAACCCTAATAAATCCTACTGTCCTTACGAGAAAATGTGCATCAAACTCTATATCGCAATGCAACGTGTATCGAGTATCGTATGCATCGCTCGAGTTACGTTACGGTCCATTTCGTTCCGAATAAGTTTACTTACATATCGCGCAACCATGAGGATGATAACGGTTCAGATGTTTATGTTTTATGCTGTTCGCTTTGGGATAGCACTGTTTGTCTGGGTGCATACGTTCATGTGCCCATGATAAGCACACCCCACTGCAAATCAGTGAAGAAAACCCGCATGAACGTAGGGATTTTCACCCGTATCATCCCACAACACTGTACTCCGTAAGCAAGTTTGCTCTTGCATTGATTCCTGTGGTAGAAATAGCCCAGCCAAAGCCGTTAGTTCATGGTTACGTGCCACATATCAAACACACTGTGAAATCCGAATTCCTGTGTCAGTTAGTGTGAGAGTAACATGTCCTGCGCATGCGAAGGACAATATAACAGTGGTTTTATGCCGTTAGAAATGATTAAGCTTAACAGGTCCCGCAGCATGATCATGCTGAAAATGCAAAATATTGAAAAATTGTCAGCAAATTTAGGTTCACAGCGGGGGACTTACCGCGGTATTCGTAGTGTAAAACCTACATCCACTGTAATCCAAGTTATGTTCGTTAGCGCACATGTTCATACGCTCTGGGTGTCGCATGGGGTTATCTGACTGCATGTGGGGCGTTGGGATGGGTATCACAGCAGCCAAACGGAAAACATGCATACTCGAGTCCGAAAACTGCATCTAGTAGCAGTCGTACGTCAGTCAGGCAAATGCCTGGCTTAGAATATGTAGGAAGCACTGGGTTAGAAATCCCTACGAATGACAATCGAGTTATCTTATTGACACTAGCCGTGGTTTAATGGTGACAAGACGACACACTCAGTCATCAATATTTCGCCACAAAAGTGCTCTTTTCTTTTGGTTTCCAGGAAAAATGTCTTGGAAATACTGACTAACACCCATTTGTGTTGTAGAACAAGAAGAGGCACAGAAGCATCGTCTCACATACAAGTTAAAGAAGCGGTTGGCACTTTGCCAGAAAACTTACCGTTTGTTCCATTTTACGGCAATCTTGGTATAATTGACATATCACCCTATCGGACTTGTAGAGCACGGGCTTTTTCACCGGTAATATTGTTTTTTTTGCGGAATAGCAAACGAGAAGCTGGTCCCATCTCGAGGTCAACCACAGAATATCCCGCCTAAGGAGGCAGTTTCATGAGAAAGTGACAAGTACTCTGACTTCATCACGCCAAGCAATCAGTCTTCACACTTCACTGGCACGTCAAGAGCAACACATGACTAGGGCTTGCAGGATGGGTTTTGGGACGTTTAGAGTAAGCTCTCAAGTAGAAGATGCCTTCACCGGGGAAGTGATTCCCCGCTACTATTGAACGCGGCCCTAATTCACTATACTATTTTGCCATCTCTAGCGGCGTTCACCTAACCTTGATTCCCAGATAACTAATTAAATGAGTGGTTTACTTCTTGAATATGCGACACAAGACCCAAGTACCTGGATCGACAAGCTTGATTTTTGCTCAATTTTTCACAATCAAAAATGTTCCGAGGTCATTCTTCAGCGTTCAGCCACTAAGGGCAACCGGGTACGATGGGAATTTTCATCGATAGGACTTCAAAATCACTCAGTATTCCGAGTGTTGGTACCTCCAGAAAGGAAAAAAACTAAATATGCTGGAATGGTTCTTTCAATAATTTAGAATATACCTGCGCAACACTTTAGACAAAAGTGAGTTACGGATGCATGAATAACTGTTCACAACCCTAATAGAATATCTCGGAAATTATCGCTGCTTCTGATTTTAGATCAACGACACCACAAAAGGGACAATCACAATCGCTTTTCGTGTGTTCCAATAAGAAGATTCTATTGCGGTCAAACAGTGAAATAGTTGCACATTGGTCAAACAATACATCGTACTCTATTAGATTAAAAAGTAAGCGATATGTGCAATCGAGTGACGTCGACCGTGCGACTGGGAAGAAGACCGTTATAACTACAGTCGCTTCGAATCTGGGTGTTTTTAGTGCCAAGGCAAAAAAACCTAGAGGAAGGAGGGAAATATGTGCTTAGTGTTTTAAATTAAATACTACCAGAAACCATACTACGACTGGAGTTAGCTAACTCGTTCCGAATTCGTCATCCGGCCCACTCCCAGGTTTATTCACTTAGTCTAAATGTTTGTATCAGTACGAAATCCGTTTTAAAGGCTAACCAACTAGACTATATCGTGAGAGAAGCACCATAATATTTTTCCGGCAGCTTCTGTGTGGGATAAGGTAAGATCATTCGGGGAACTCTCAATGTCATCCGTCAGCATTTGAGGTTAAAATTAGTTTGGATGCAAGCAAAATCTGGCAGGCAGGCTCTAAGGGATTACCCGATGTGGAACATTTGTGGAGGTGCTAAGGCCGGAAAACATACCTAAAATACCTAAATGTCATAATCCGTTAGTAAGAGGATCGTTGGATCCTGGGACAATTGACACGCTGCAAATGTGAACGCTTTTCAACACAGTTAACTACTGATCCCATCTTAATCCTGCCGAAGCATTCCCTGCTTTTACATGGCACTATGGAACAATGGTCTGTAATGGATAAACGAGGCACAGGAGTAACATGTCCCGTAGGTTGCTAATGGATAAAATTGAGAAGTAAATATTACAATGAACAATGAACAATGATTTATGCCGGGTAAGAAAAGCAGTTGCTTGACAAGTCCCGTAGGATGGTAGGGGTAAAACTACATTTTTCAAAGGATAGGTGAGTTTTCTGTTTGAGCGTTTATCTGGCAGACACGCTGCAGAATAATAGTTACTTACGTGTGAACTGAATGTGAACGACGAGGCAATCAGGGGGTAGTTAGAGTTGGTGTACTCGTGAGAAAACTGAAAACAAGAATATTCACTTCTCTACCGCCTCCTCAGATTTATGTGAAATATTTATCCAGCTTGAATTGATTATTAATAAATTCCAAATTAACACAGATTAAGCAACGAAGTGTTGGGGGGTCAAAGGCAAGATCCAACCGTTTTTTGAAAATGCTGAAAGTGGGGAGGAAACAACGGAGTTTGGGAGGGAGTTCCAGGGTTGGAAAATCCGAAGAGAAAAGTAATTCCGCCTGCATTCCAGGCGACTATACTGTGCACACAATTTCAGAGGGTTACGCCTGAGATTGATGTTATGGTTGGGTTTCATCAAGTGACGGCATACGTGATTAGGGTCACTCAATATTTGATAGATCAATATGAGATCGCCGCGCAGCATTCGGTAGTGGCAACTGAAAACTCCCAGTGACTTCAGCCTTTGATGGTAGGACAGATTTCGTAAGCCCTTGACCTTCTTCGTGGCCTTGCGTTGTGATTTCTCTAGCACTTCTAAGTCGCGCTTCAACCAAGGTTGTCGAGCGTGGATGGCGTATTTAACGTGAGGGCGCACGTAAGAGTTGTGCGTCATGGTGAAAATGGATGGACCAAATAAAATACGCATGGGAAAATCGATGGAGTAATTGTGTTAAAAGGGATGGTTATGGGAGTGATGTAATACAGGCAAAACCAGATAGAAACTTGTTCTGGTTATTACTCATAGCAACTCAAAGCAGATTTCACACCACTCCGCATAAATGTAAGTGGGTCATAATTTTCAAAGTGGCTAGTCAGCCGGAATAAATTCGGAATATCCGTTCAAGTGACAAAGTGTAGAGCGTGCAATTCGACATTCTAATAAAGAAACGAAGCGATTGTCCGTTTCTAGCATGCAGCTACTTACAATGTGGTTACACAAATAATGGAAAAGTGGACAAAATTTGCAACTTTCAACGAGCGTGACCCTACTGAGTCGAATGTCTGCATTGCACTAACTTTTCATGGCACGTCTGGACCTCATTAAATGAGATACTGGTCCGTTCGACAGCAGGACCCCTTGTGCATCTGGAAGTAGGCGTGTGTGCTTCGCTGTCAGGTCCCATCCA